CTCTCTCGCTATTTACATGTTCACATGTATACCTATATATTACCGTCTAGATAAATTCACCTGTGTCGATGACAAGGATCAACCCTTCCCTGTTGTGAAATACATATTATCAGACAGATAATATTTATTTCCATACAGACTCACTCTCATATTGAATATGAAAAAAGGGGACCTTAGCACCTGCTGCTCAATAGGTAAACCATGCAAATACTTGCATGTGATGAATAAAAAAGAGGGTTCGTAATATGGGGAAAGGGTTCTTGTCGCTTTATTCAGATTAGGGACCCACCTATGGCATTTGAATGAGACCCTTCGGCAACGCCACTTGATCCTCTTGATTTTACACGGCAAGTGTTTTCACCCTTCAGCGCCAAACGAAACTCCACTCAGGGAGCGATCCTTCCATTCCGGACCGCAATATCACTTGGTACTTTAATAATTCATACTAATAATACAAGATAACAATCACAACATATAATCATAAGCATATGTTAGATATAATGTCGATACGATATCGTTACGATATATTATAAACATTTCTCGAGAATAATTCTCCTCTTCTTTCTTGAAATAGTTCACGAGTTTCTTTAGTTAGCATCGATAGGGAGAAGAGAATATCACAGATAACTTTTAATATTTTGCCAAGCATTATCAATTATGTATATAATATCGGAACAATTTAAGTTACAACACTCATAAATCTTTATCAAGGAATTTCGTTTATGCGCATTTATAATAGCTGGCTATTAGAATCAGAGCGCGTACATATTATTCGCGCCTCTCTCGTGACTTCATGTCGGTAGGGGCGTCATTAAAATCAATACCGGCTCGCTCTCTCCTCTCCACTTTGTTCTCTTTTCTTTCCCTACTATCGTTATCCTTGTTCCTTTATCATCTATATCCTCGTTGCACTACTGATGCGAGGGTGGCGGAATTGAGGTAGGGGTTGCCCCTTCCTATGTATCTGGTCTGGCATGCGAAGCGAAGGACGAAGCGTTGGTGGGGACCAGGATGAAGGAACGAGAGAGTCAGTGAGGGAGAGAAAAAGCACGAGGAAGACGAAACTTTGGGGAGCAAGGGGAGAGGATGGTACGATAAGAGGAAGGCTGCGTTTGTGATGTGAGGTACGTGGTACATGCGATAAGGAGTGGGGGATAGCGTTCCCATGGCCAATAAGAACCTCTTTAAAGCGCCCTTTTTGCACGGGACTGCGCATGCCGGATTCAAATCTGGGCGAGCTAGGTATCGAGTGGAAGTAGGGGTGGAAGTAAAGCGACAATGGTGGTGGTGGAAGCAACGGTGGTAGTAGTGACGATAGCGGTGGTGGTGGACGTCGGCTGTATGGAAATATGATAGCGCGATAAGAAAAAGAAGAAAGGCAATGACGCCTATGTGTGTGCAACGCGAAGGGGATAGGCGTGGGTAGGGAGAGTTCTATGGTTCTCGCGACCAATAAAAGGGCCAGTTTAAAGCGCCTTATTTTTTGCACGGGCACTGCGCATGCTGAATTCAAATCTTGGGAGTGGTGAGGCTGGATGGATTTGTATGGAAATATGATAGGTGAGAGGTATCCGGGTCGACATGGCGGCCGATAGAGGTTTATGGACGTTCGATTATTCTTATCGGTATTTCTATAATAATGTATTTTCGCATCTGTAATATTACTATTAGTATTTTAAATAAATGCAAAATTATATTAGATCCATATTAAAAATTATTAAAATTTTCATGTATAAATTATATGATTCGTTCATCAAAGCTTTGTTTCTTTAAATATTTAAAATTATTGGCAATACTAGCTTTAGATTTTGACATATATAGTTTATATGCATTTATTTGCTGGATATAATGTCTTCTGTATTTCTGTCGACAAGAACATCTCGTAAGCCAACACAATAATCACATTGTTTGGCAGATCGCCCTCTCGAGCAATCTGAACTTGTAACTGCATCCACCTGCTGCCATATCTCATCAATGTCAATCGAACCGTGATACAGGTCTTCAATCCTTAGATATATCAATCTTAAAGATCTTCAGAGAAGAAATCTTAATATGTTTATCATGAAACTTATCATATGCTTATCAATTAAGGCACATTTTTAACATCTTGTTAAGTATTAAATAATTAGGAAACTGCATATTTCTTGCTTTGCTTTTGAAGATTAATACAGATTCAGATATATGACATTCTTAGAAGTATTAATTTAATTTATTATTTTGAGAGATTATTTTACAATATCAAAGTTGAAGTATGCAAAATTATCTAAAATATTTGACTACCGACAAATAATCACAGTAGTAAAAAGAATAGTGATTTGCGTGGGTGGTCCAGCGTGAGAGACTTCTTGCGAATTCTCTTTCAACTAATTCCATCTCCAACTCTTCTTTACGTGCACGCTGACCACACTATCTTGCACTATCTGCGGTTGTACGTTGTGTGCGTCCACGTGGTATTTCCAAGATATTTAGACGGGTACACCGCGCACGATGCATTTTCACGTTCAGCGCATTTGGTTATCCTCAGTCTCGTCTGGTTTCCATTAAAGAAAACCGCGAAGAAGCATGCGAATCGAACCGGTTCGGTGCAACTTACATCGGATTGGTCAGCTCCGGAATCAAGCCGAGTTTAATTCTTAAACATTGGTCACGGTACAGGTCTTTAAGTATCAAGGTCTAATCGTCATCATCTTCACAAGGTGGGGCAGGTAGAGCGACGATTGGTCGCGAACGTTGCATATGCAAATCCGCTTGCTTACTCTCTCTTCTTCTCTCCCCTCCCCTCCTCTCTCTCTCTCTCTCTCTCTCTCTTCGGCTTTGCGGATAGCAGATACACGCGAGATGAAAAAGGCACGCTCGAGCTCGCGCGAGTTCCGCGGCCGGAGAACTCGCCTCTGGCTCGCCGGGCGGAGCCGCGTACAATCCGCGTTTTCTTGCGATTGGAGGCGGCATTCCCCACCGACGCGTTGACTGCCCCCACCTTGGCAATCATGCAGACTGTGTTGGACGCAGCCACGCTTCTCGTTCCACACGCGACTTTCCTTGTCCCACTCCTATTTGATCGAGGCCGTCGGTACTCTCTCCTTGTTGCGCGAACGATTTTTCTCTTCCTTCTTGGAGACCTAACAACTCCCCCACTTTGGGTTACTCCGTTCCGCGACCGCTTTTGCCGGTAGGCGGCCAGGCGAACGTACGTGAATCCTCTAGTGTAGCTGCACACATGCACGCGACAGCATCTGACCGCTGTACCACTAGCCGCCGCCGCCGCAGCCGCAGCCGCAGCCGTAGCTACCGCCGCCGTAGCGCGTCGCGTAAACTCTCGTCCAAGTGTGTCTTTGATCACGCCGAACGAGAAGGACGCGTCGACAGGTTGACCTGACTCATCCTCTTGACAGGTCGCAGGTAGTTACTGCCATTGGCGCTCTATAACCGCGTCGTCATCGGCCGATTTGACGCGCTACGTCGTGACAGATCGGCGCTGATCGCACGTGTTATTCACGATGACGTGATCATCTACTAAGTAAAATACGGCGGCGAAGAGTGGTAAATTTGGTGTAGTGACCTGGGCTCAGCTAGTCGAAATTGCGATTACTGATGATGTTGGCGAGATAGTGTTTGTTGTTGAGTTCATTAGCAACTATTATTATCTCTGGTACTAACGACGGTACTTGCAAATTATACTGCCGTAAAGACTTCTTGCCGATCTGAGTGTTGGATCAAGTGCGCGTTGTTAGCGAAGACAACTCGGATTGAACTTCGGTCAGAACGATTGACAATTTGCGCTAGTGAAAACTGTGCTGGCGCTTCATATGTCTTACGTCGAAGATTTGTCATTTAACAAAAACGGTGCGATTAAGAGACCAATATTATGAAAATATAATACAAGCAAAGATTGTTTTTACGCAAATTACAACAATAATCTATAGATGGTTTATGCGGTGTACAAATCGTGCATTGGATAGTTATATCTTAGTTATATTTTAAAAAAAAAATTGGATACCACCGCTACAAGAAGGTGTACGTGACTGTGAGACTCCTGAATGAGTGTAGTGTACATTCTTAAAAGTACTGTGTTTTCAAGAACTCAAAATCACTGACTGGATTTTACATGAACATGGAAGAGATCATGTTGACTAGTACGCAGTGAACGTCGCGAGATGTGATTTCCATGTTAAGAACAAGCAACCGTGAATGTTTCTTGGATAATCGATCGAGTCGAATTCAAGTATAATACCTCGAAGCGGTATTTCACTTTCAAAGCACTCTACGAGCGATGATAGTTGACGCAAACCGCTAAGTTAGCAGCGAACGACCTCCCACTGTGTGGAACGGTGCAATCCTTCGTCGAGAGCAGAAATCAGCAGGTGACCACGTTGGATCTCGCGGCGTTGGCTGCCTACGGGGGCGTTTCGGGACCCAGGGTCGCGGTGGCGGGTACCGGGGTCCTCGCGCTACCCGGCCTGATACCCGACAAGGGTTTATCATCGCCCGGAGGCCAGTCAAAGTCAAAGTCCGCAGGGCTGGCGGGTCTCGACAGCGAGGCGGTGCGCCGGTGGGTCGCGGAGGCCACGCGAACCGTCCGGCAGCTCCCGCCTCCGGTGGTTGTGCCTGTGAGTTCTCCACAACACCAGCAACAACAGCAGCAACAACAGCATCATCATCAACCACAACAGCAGCATCAGCACCATCATCATACTACCCACAGGCAGCGTCAGGAGCCTAACTCACCGTCGGTGGGGCTCTCCCCCTTCGTTCTGTCAGCATCGATGACGCAGACCCCCAGTATGCGTCTGCTGGAGAATAACAACTTGGTCGAAGTTGCCATGGCCCAGCAGCAACCGCAACAACAATCACAACAATCGATACAGAAGCAAAAGCAGACAAGTCCTACGAATAACAATACTATAGAAGCCTGGAGATCGATTCAGGGTGGGCATCAGTGGTGGAGTCCGCCCAGTAGTGTTCACCAAGAACAACAGCAGCAACAGCAAGTATCTTCGATCGCACAGGTCTCTCAACCGCAAAGTTTGGTGGCCGCATCAGTATGTAGCCAGGTGCAGAGGCATCAACCGCAAGTGCAATCGGAGATTGATCAGCCACTTGACTTTTCTGTTGGCTCTCTCCAACAGCAGAGGCTGCATTCGCGCGTAAGGACTATACACGAAAGACTTCAAAGTAAAATGCATGACAACAACAACGGCACGGCGAGCGGGCAAAAGATTATCAGGGGAGATGTTAGTAGGCGAAGTTATAGCCCCAGTGAAGCGAGTACTAGCAGCAGCGAAGACGAGGGTGTCTCTACTGGCGGCAGTCCTCCTCTTCGAGGCGCCTCGGGTGAGTGTCGATCAAATTACACACGTTTCATTAGAGTCTAAGATATATTCAGAGTCACCATGATTCGTTAATTTGCGATTATAAAGCTTAATATGAAAGGAAAAAATGGCTCTATTAACTCTCACTGTTTTTGCTTACGTATTTATTAATTTATATAAATATAGTTTATATAAATTATATAGTTTATATAAATTATTTGTATAATAATAGTTTTTTAAAAATTTCTACATATTAATAATTAATCTTTCCAATTAATTATATTTGAAAATTTTTATATATAATGTAACATAACCGTTATATAAATCGGATTTGAATGATGTAACGTTATGTCGTATAAACGTAAATTAAGTTTTATTTATTATTCTCTCTCTCTCTCTCTATCTATCTATCTATTTACTTATCTTTATTCTTATTATCTTTTTCAAGTTATTTTATTATTAAAAGCAATCAAAATAGCATATCGATATGGAGGCGAATATAAGCAAGTATCTTTATTGTAATTTCTCATTTTGCTTAATTAACAAAGAATATTGCATGAAACAGTTTCCCATTAAATTCAACATTTGACATGGACATGCGTTAAGCAATCAGAATTATATGATAAAATATAGATATAAATATAGATAAATATAGATAAAATATAGATAAATATAGATAAAATATAGATTATATATTATTGCAAGCAACGGTAGGGATCAAGCATTTTGTGGAAAACATTATGTTTGTCAGCTGCCAGCGCAGTCTGCCACTGTATTTTCAACACCCTCGCACTGTATTGTTGCTTTCCACAGATGCATTATGGCATCAAGGCATTATACTAAACAGTGTGGTCCTCCAATCATGAAATACATTTATCTCAAACGGCTGGCTTTCACATTTACTTCGCACGTTTTTCCTATTACGTGCACAAAATACATGCCAATTAAATTTGAAGTAAATTTAAAGGATTTAGATTTAAAGGACTTAGATTTAGATTTAATTCGTTTAAAATCGAATTGCGTTCGTATTTTGCATAAAGGTAAAAGTGTCTTATTATTTATATTCTATTCTCAATAATAATATATAATCATTTAACGTTATTTTTTTTGCTTATTTTGCTTTTATAACGCTATAATCTTGTTTATGACGTATGAGATATCCAGATTAGCGTGTAGATTACTATGAAGATGTTACGACATTCATCGTGTCGATGACGATGACTAATCGGTCCTCCTTAATGATCCGTTATCTTGTCAACGCGCATTGGCGCATTTGTAAAATTAGTGCGAGTGCTATCTATGCTAAACGTAAGAGTTTAAGATTCGATATCACGCACATTAACAGATAACTAAGTCACTATCAATCGCGTTGGCGGTAATTTCCATGCTGAGACATCAATCGTCTAATTTCAATCGATGCTGCTCGCGTCAATTACTCGTTTATGATATATGCTCCGTCTGTACTCAGTCTTTAGATATTATTAATTAGGTGCAAAGTTGTACATACAGGCTTATTAATAGCCATGGCCGCGCACGCGCCGCACGTTTCTGCTTTCAATTCAGAATTACCGGTTCCTGATAAACGTGCGATTCACGGTTGCTGCACATGTCGTTTATAACGTATCTCTTTCTCTCGTCGACGTTCAATCGTGCAACGTACAGATAAATCTTGACTCCTTCTCGCGTTAATATCACTTGATAATTTATATGTATATGTAGATAATAAATAATAATAATAATTATTATACGTATAAAATAAATAATTACCGATTAAGAGAAGACACATGTATATTCCATAGAAATAGTTTCGCTAAAAATTGACTTCAATTTTATCAAGAGATCTATAAGAATCAGTCAGTGAAAGAAAGACGTTTTTTTGTATTAACAATTTATGTTATTATCGCTTACATTCTTATATTGATATTATCATTATAGCATAGTCCCTCGTCAATAAAGTTCATTAAGAATTGCGTTAATAGAACAGATAATCACGATAAGAGAGAAAAAAATATTGATTAAGATGGATGTAAGCATTAGATCTGCCAAGGGAACATAATATAATTTTTACACAAGTCGTCTCTATTAACTGCGATATGCGACGCGATAAATCGAAAATTAATAACGCTGAAGATGTTGTTAATGTACGTTGATCAGCCATGATAAGCACTAGATCAGAGGAATAGGCAGAAAAATTACAAACCAATTGATACTATTGATAAAAATACGTATCGCTTTAGTCAGTCCGGTGTTGTTAATCTATGGCAATTACGTGATGTCTATATATTCCTCGTATTCAAGCATCTGATATCGAGGTTATCCATATGATAAATTCTCTCTCTACATAGTTACACTAATATTAAGAAAAATGCAACGTAAATACGCAGTACTTCGTGTGAACGGAAAGAAAAAAATGACCGTTATCGTATCAGCCGATAACGTCTTAGCTTTAGTACGTGTTTGAATAAATATTCCACGTAGTTGCGTGATCGCATGGTTATTTTCGGCGTACACTGAAATCGTGACACAAAAATCACGTTTAGTAAATATCATGTATGAGTTGAGCAACGTATTTTTATTATCACTAATCAATCATCAAATACCCATCTCATATTGAGTACAATCATCAAACTGTAATGACTAGTAAAATAATAATCGTAATTATTATAAAAAAAAAACATTTGAGAATTAATCGGAAAAGATTTGGTGATAGAATTTATATCTGGGATAAGAACATTTAAAAAATTAACATATAATTTTTCCCAGAGTTATAAATTATTTTGATTATATCTATTTTTATTTAATAGTATTCATAATCAACGATGATGATTCCGCGCCTCGTCCTTGATGAAAGTGCACGTAGAGTACGGGCAGTTCCAGGTACCCGTTTCACGGGGCCCAAGGACCTGTTCCCTGCGAGCCCAGGTGTATTACGATGTAACCTGATACGCGTTTGATTCTATGTTATTTACGAGCAGGTGTATCAACGCAACAATGTTTATCGATGTAATTAGATTCTATACCTACGTAATCTTTATCACACGTCGATGAGTTGTGGCGCGGCGAAAAATCACGCTTTCAGAACGCGTATGCATGATGATAATAATTTTCTCGAACACCTCCTCTACATTGATTTCGATTGTCACGCCTTTTTATTGTCTATTGATCAATAATCGACAAGGGCTTATTTTTCAACACAACTTCTCACGTAAATGTTTACGATGTAAAATTTATTTAATTACAAGACATAATTTATATATATACATATATTTTCTAAAGAAAGAAAATTAAATTATTCTTTGTCAAATACAATTAAAATTTTTAAATAAAAATAAATCTTCTAATAAAAATTTTAAAATATTAAAATGATGTTTGGTTTGCTGTAAGTTTATTTAACAAAGAGTCAATAAATTCATTTCTAATACTATATTCTTTTAAATATCTTTAAAACAATTATATTTTCATTGATAAATACTTTGTTTTATTTTATATCGTTAAGGACTAACCATCTGTTTCTGTTAATTTGTGCTTAATTTAATTAAAGATCTAGGGATCTTTGATGCGGATCCGACAAATGTAGAGCCGATTAGAACTCTCATTGGAGTCATCTTTCTCATTATGGATGTTTCCGCTAACTATCATCGAGAATCGTCGTATTCGTTCCTTCATTAACGTTTTCTGTGACTCGTCCGAGTACATTTGCCGTCGGATCACTCGCGTGCGGAAAATTAGATTCGTGAGAGTATTCATAAGATACACTGATCCTTCTCGCGTTTCTCGCTTCGTGATCAGTGATCTTCGAGCTTCGAATGTGTCGATGGAAATTCCGCGAAGTCCATTCTCATCTCAAAACCCAAACCCCCGCAGGATATTGCTGTTTAAGTAGCCATTTTCCTCTTGATGTGCTTAAATCTTTTATTTTCCGTTACCTAAGCATACTTAGCTCTCAAGATTCTGCTTTATAAAAATTTAATAAGTAATAATTTTATAGAGAGTAACAAGCATATGTATGTTTTAAAGTTTTAAATCCACTTCTTCTCTATTATTTATTCGCTATAGATTTTGTTCTGATAATAAGAATTCTTGATCGATAAACGACATTTGATTATCCACGTTGAAGCATATGGCTGACAATTGCGCTTGTAGCTCGAGATTATTAATCGGTCGATAACTAATGAGATACTAATTAATTTATTCTATTATACATTAAGCCGCAACATCTAATGAGAAAGTACGCGATTGAGCGCACGCGTTATCCTCATTCTGTTTTATGCCGGTACCCGCGCGCGTCATTAACTTATGATTAGCCATATAAAGTCGGGACGCGTATTGATAAAAAATGTATATCGATACGACCGGTGCATCGGCGATGCGCTATATCGGACGGCGTTTCGTCGGGACCAGCCCGACGTCGGCCATCGATGACGGATAAAATCGCATTTATTGACTCGTCCCAGATTAATCGCGACCGAATAATATATTTATCTTTACTGCCCGGCCCGAGTCTCCATGGCCGTACGAGTGAAACGGCCTTTATCGATCGGCGATCTCTCGCTCGCGTCACTCGAGAAACGAAGGCTTGGCTCAAAGATAAAAAGCCGACGCGTTAGAGGCGGCCGGAAGCTCGTACCTTGCACGGCTAATACGCACAATGACTATGAATACATAAAGACGTGTTATCAAATGGAATTTGTTCAACGAATAACGCAATTGAGGAAAAATTTGCATATATGATAAAGAAAATCAGTATATGACAAAGATATTTTTAATTTGATTCTATTTTGTAAGATTATTATTATTGCTCTAAGAAAAAAATTAACATTAGAATATATTAACACGAGTAGATGGGATTTTTTGTGTATGAACAGATTAATAATCATATTTATGTGTTTTTTTTTTAAGGAAACTATGATAATTTTATTTTGTTTAAAGATATTATTGAAATTTATGGCATTATATGGATATAATTATTCGCTGATTTGAATTTCTAAATAGTTACACGGTTATATGGTTTATCGTACTGTT